GGTTTTCCCCACTTTATTTCTTGAAGTCTACACGTAGTTAAAAAACATATGTTATACATCTGACAATAACCAAGCCTATTTTGAACTGGTTTGTAGTTAAAGCGTCGTCTGTACAAGATGTTGAGAAGTATTTTATGCAAACAGATAACATCGACCTTTTTCTTTATAGCCCATAAGAAAATAAGTAAAATTACAATACATTTACTATGTTAAAACAGTTATGTCAACTACATCATACGTAAGAACGTCTTAAATGAAATCTTTAATGTCACAACTTGAGAAAAAAAATCCAATTGTACCTTTAAAAGAACAAAAGAACTTATGGTGATGTAATAAACATAAAAACTTATCTTATTAAAAATCTTCAAGTCACTTTAATTCGAATTAACATATATTCTTTAAAACAATTCTTGTCATTTACACGAGCTGTTACAATGTATTGTCATCATTATTTTATAAAATGAATGGTCCAAATTATACTTTAACTTTTTACGTCGAAAATATTTTCTTAACGAACATTAAACATCGAGTAAACAAGTATGAAGGCTAATTCGTTTGCAGTTTTTGCGAATGAAACTGAGGTCACGTTTAGAACCTAAATACTTTTTTGTGCGCCCCCCTCAGTGGCACAGCGATATGTCTGCGTACTTACAAAGCTAGAAACCGGGTTTCGATACCCGTGGTGGGCAGAGCACAGATAGCCCATTGTATAGCTTTGTGCTTAACTTCAGACAAACAAAATACTTTTTGTATGCAAGTGCCTTATTTTAATTTTTTAAAGAAATCAAAGAAAACTTATTCCTTAAGGCAGTAATATACTTTTGTATCACATATCCAATTTCCACTTAAAATTGACAAGTTTATTTGTATTCGGCAAGGTTATCAGTCAAATAGGATAATATTATCATATGGTTTGTCAAAGAAAGGTTATGTCCACGATCACGTCAAACACATTCACGAAAGTGAATCTAGTATTTGTACTACAATAGCAGCTCCCTCTATTTTATTTTTAAATAAATATGCAAAAGTACTAATATATACTGATGACCGTATTAAAGATTTATTTTTAACTGCGAAATATGATTCTTTTTGATTGCACAAGAGCTGTTTTGAATGCGTTCCAAAAGCTTTGTTAAAAACAAAAACTTGTTTAAAATCGTGTGCTGAAATAATGTTAGGCGTATACGTAACTTGGAAAGAGTTTACCTTCATCTTGACATCACAATTAAAATTTAAAAAAACTGTACGACCCTTACAACTGTGGAAATAATGGGAGGACTTTCTAACTCGACTGAAATGTACTGGAGTGATGAAATGATATTTTAGTGATACTACAAAGGGTTGAGTACATTGTATTAAAACGATTTTGAATGTGCAAATATACAAGATATTTGACAAGTACTAACAACCACAGCCTATATAAAGTCCTGGTAGAACGGCTTGTATCAGAACTACATTTTGGCATTTCATAGGTAATGTGACGCCACCGAGAATTGATCAAACTTCTGTTTAAACTTGCTTGTAATCAAGTGCTAAACGTTTGTTTATATAAGATTCAGTGAGGGCCTAATAATTGATATTATGTTAGTGCAGTATGGAAATACTACATACCTCATTTTCCTGTAGTAGTTAAATATAATGAACCATTTCTTTTTTCTCTAAAGTTTCAGATTTAAACTTGCTGGAGTGTATGTTGGCCCTGTTGTAGAACTGTGTTCAATCTATACGATACCACTACACATTTCTTGCAATTTAAGTTATGGGTGTATTATGAAAATGATAGTCAAACCCCCAGCATGGATGATGGGCGGTAGGATGTTGCAGACTTGATGCTTTCTCTTTGATAGTAACTCAGAATTAGGGACAGGGCAAAGAGCCTTTGTAGCTTTGCCATAAATACAAAACAAATATAACTTGCTAAATCCTGACTATGCACTGTGCTAATTCTGATACTTGTGCTACTTTTGTGATATTTTGGAGTGAACTGATTTATTCTCATAGGTCTACTGAATAACATGAGAATCGAACACGAAATTTATATAATAATATAAATTTGAAAAACAGCTGAGTTTTAAGCTGTATGAGAAATAAACAGACCGGACATGTTTGATGGAAAGTGAAAACAATTTTTAATACAAAAAATAAGAACAGTTTAAGTACTTGCGTAGACACTTATTCAATCAACTCTACTGGACCAATGAATATATTGCCAGATTTCTTCCCTCGGGGCAGATTTGTAGAGAACTAGTCAGAAGGAAAACCAAGTAGAACAGAGCAATAATGTAGGTTCTGACCTATCCAGAAACCTCGTATCCTTGTTGTTGTTTTTTTGCTATAGCATAACTAGTCATTCTCCCACAATATTCGTCGTCTGTAACATGCATTTAGACATCATCCACTCGGCCAGCGAAGGACGTTGCATGCATTAACCTTTTCGACATGGATGTGCGATGTTACTGCAATATCTCCTCAGGCAGAATAGGTATTATCTACTATAGAGAACAAAGAAACAAAGGTAACTAGAAAGAAATAATTTCAGTGGTTTTTCTGGGCCACATATTTATGCTAAAAGTGCATAGAAAAGACTAAATGAAAAATTTTAAAAATTTCCATATCAATAAAGATGGTGAAAAAATATAATATACAGGCATATCACATTCTTTGTAGCACGAGTCTCATTATATCTAATAATACGTTGAATGTGTAGTTGCTTTACGATCATCACACGAGGTAGATCCTTCCAGATTCTAGTAATCTAGTTTTATCATTGGTTAGCTACAGAGAGGATGTGGATTGTGAAAGCAGTTTTGGCGTTTTTAGAAAGATCTCATTTCGACTTTTCGTGAAGTTCTGTTTGCGTTCTTTGGGTAAAGTTAGTGTTCCTCCTGTTGACTATGTACGTTATTTTTATTTTGGTATTATAACCTTTAACATTGCTTCTAATTCAGTTGACAAAGAGACATGCCTTATTTTTCATTTATGTCATAGTTTTTAATACTGCTTAAGATATAATTAATTTCTATTCTAACAATTCGTTTCAAACAGTTTTTTCATTATAACAGTAATTTCTTGCTACGGTGGATGATTAATTTTTGTTCATGACATTTTTTTATTTTGGTTAATTGTTTGTTTTTATAAATCTTCACACCAAGTTATATTTCTTTCATTCAATCAATAGTACCTGCCCTTCCACCTACTAGATCTGCAAGCTTCTCGTTGTTCCAGTTGTTAGGTAATTATGTGTTCTACCTATTTCGAACTTTGGAATGCTACAACACTACTACCTGTTACACAAGTTTGTGGCACGGCATGGCCGGGTGGTTAGGGCACTCTACTCGTAATCTGAGGGCCGTGGGGGCGTTATAATGTGATGGTGGGTGGTGATGACTAGCTGCCTTCCCTCTAGTCTTACACTGCTAAATTAGGGATGGCTGGCGCAGATAGCCCTTGTGTAGCTTTGCGCGAAATCCATAACAAACAAACAAACACAAACTTGTAACACACGATAAAAAAGAATAAAATATACGCTGTATTTTAAATCTTCTCGAAAAAATATAATAAAAATTACGATGGTGTGTTACAGTAGAGCAACATTATAAAAAATAAACCTTACGTAGTTGGATTACATTAACTAAGTAATTACTGAATATTTTATTCAAAGAAGAATTAACCCTGAAGTCTTTCAGGATAACAAAACATTCATGTGAGTTTTCCTATTTACATTTGGAACTACGCTTTTATGCTTTCTTGAAAAAAATAAGCTTAATTGGATTTGGTTTAAAAGACTAAAATTACACTATTAATTATTTGTAGTGCATTTCAAGGTTGCGACAGTAATTATTCATACAATAGTTCAATTCCAGCAAAGTTAGCAAAAAATCAAAATATAAATGAATAAAATGTTACACTATTAATTAAATTTTAAATCCAGAACACTTGCACAGTACTTATATATTTTTCTGCCGTCTCCGAAGTATAAAATAAAAAAGTAATAATAGTTTAGCGTAACCGTGTTAGACTTTAATTATGGATTGAAATTTACTACGCCTACTTTTGACAGTAAAAAAACAGAAAAAACACACACCAACTCATTAGTAATTAATAGCATATTGTTACGTCTCTGGTCGTTTGTTAATTTCCGCTATAAATTCTTCCTGAGGAACGTCAGCGATACAAGTCCTTTCTTAAGTAAAACTAGTTTATTCCTTCTCAATACAACTTTGCAATACACAGAATTTCCATAGTCATTTTAACTTAAACACACACTATAATTCATAACGATTCATGCACTTTACTTACGGTCACATGCCCGGCATGTCCAGGTGGTTAGGGCGCTCGACTCGCAATCTGAGGGTCGCGAGTTCGAATCCCCGTCACACCAAACATGCTCGCCCTTTCAGCCATGGGGGCGTTATAAAGTGACCGTCAATTCCACTATTCGTTGGTAAAAGTGTAGCCCAAGAGTTGGCGGTGGGTGGTGGTGACTAACTGCCTTCCCTCTAGTCTTACACTACTAACTTAGGGACGGCTAGCGCAGATAGTCCTCGTGTCGCTTTGTGCGAAATTCAAAACAAACAAACTTACGGGCACTACTGCTCACTTGACTCAATTATCTGTCTCTATATCTCCCTGTCTGCTATCTATCTCCGTTTTATTTGCCGGGCTTATAAACAAAAATAGAGAGCGTCTAGCACATACTGGGATATTCGTAATGTTCCCCGATCCTTATAGAAACTCATGACGTGTTACCAGCGTCACATTATTTCCGCTGTCGTAACAATATCTTTATTTTTCGAAGGCTTCTCTCGTATATCTACCTCAGTTTTAAGTCCACTTTGATTTTTTGTTACTTATATTTAGTTCTGTATATTTGCTTGCAACGCTAGAATCCGGATTTCGATACCCGTGGTGGGCAGAGCACAGATAGCCCATTGTGTAGCTTTGTGCTTAATTGCAAACAAACAAAGTATAAAATAAAAATCAGACAACCTTAGGTGGTGCTGCAGTGTATAAATTGTATCATGGCGGAGTACATCAATTATGATGCTTGGATTGAGAGATATAAAACTTTTATTGCTAGTAATCCAGCTTTTGCTAGTCAATTAGAATCATATTTGAGATGGATTTCGTATATAACAGCAGGTAACAATATATTTCTTACAATAACTTTTTATTTTTCTAATGTAGATTTTACTTGTAAGTCGTACTGTTGTACTTGTAAATGTAAGTTATGTGTATCATGATTAACAATAATAGCATTATTAACAAAAGTTTGAACTTTTAAATTGCAATGTAATACTATTAGTAGTACTACGCAGTACTAGGACAGCTAGTAGTAATAGTTAATATTGTATTGGGGTAATCTAGGACACCAAATATCGTAAACCTAGCTAAGCCTAACTTGCGAAAAACTATTCATCCATTATGTTGTTATAAAGATGCCATATTTAAACGTCAAATATTGAAGAGGGCGTTGCATGAATGGTGCATACATTTCGAAGGAAAATATTTCTCAGTTTAATAATACTATCACCTTTTCCCTGTAGTTTAGCCTATCTTGCCCAACATTAATTTACTGAATTGTCAGGTTTAAGTGTGTCATAATTGCGATCGTCTGGTACAGAAGATTCAAAGGCCCCCAGAATAAATGTACATTACAAACTAGGACTTATTATTCTAAAGCTTCATCAAAATACTCATATCACTATCATAATACTAGTATAAATATCTTTAGCTGTCAATTAAGCGTTTCATTATAGGCAACAGAAAGTGATATCCATTATCATAAATATCACCATGATAAAGTAGTACCAATTATTGTAAATCCACACCAGTTGTAAAAGTTTTATGTAGTTATATTACTAAACTGTAAAACTAAGTAAAAAAAAAATACTAACATTGTTTATGTGTAAAATTCCTGAAGAATGGAATTGCATAATTTTCTTTAAGAAAACTTCTTTTTAATAACTTTTATTTGATGCACACATATCCAAAATACTTTTTGGATCCTTTGGGTCTATGCATATGAGGAATTTTTTGAGTAAACTGTCTTACAACACAAATTTCAATTATTTTCCACATATAAATAACAAAATCTACATTTTTCTTGTCATTAGAAGGCAACACACTATGTAAAATCTCATCTAAAGTTATCTGTAAGCCATATACAACTTACAAGAGTAAAAAAGCATCTGGTTTTGAAATGATCACATACATTTATCTTTACCACAAGTGTTTGTATAGAATAGTTATAAAGTGAAAAATGAACTGTAGAGAGATGTCTTGGGGATATTAAGAAATGTTTGAAAACCTGAGATAAGCTAACCCTTTTAACAAAACCTATATTGAGGTCTTTTAGTTTGTAGTTAATAGATTGTAGAGCCTATTCCCTAATGTTATATTGAAATTTGTAGTAATAACAATCAGTAAATGTATAAAATGTAGTGAGAAAAGCAAAAAACAAATATACGAAGTTAACCACACTAAAATGTTACAAGCTTAACTGTCATATGAAATTAGATATCTGAATTAAGATGATTTGTACTCAATAAAATAGCTATTTGAACTGCATATGTATAAGTAAACATTACACAACTTTTTTTTCAACATATAATGGCATAAAAGTTAAAATGACTAACAAAAATAATTATTTCACCATATTTAAATTAATTTTGAATTAAATTTAAATAATAAATACAGTGAAACTTCTTTGACAGAAAGCTTTTCAAAGTCAAATGTACATTACTTTCCCACGAACTTTTTTTAACTTATTTCTTTCTTTGACTCAAAGTTCTTGAAGCTGAATTTCACTGTATTTCAAATCTAAATAGCACCCTGAAACACATTTTGCTTCTGTATCTAGAACTGCTACATTGTATTTTAGTACATTCTCTACAAAATATTGTTACTCAATAAACACAGTAGGGGTGTACAGTGCTTCTGTACACCCCTACTTTCTGTGAACCATGCAGCTAGTAATTAACTGATAAATAACCCTCTAGACAATCAGATAACAATTACTATAATAACTAGGGATGCACGGGTACCCGGATAAATATCCGGCCCCGGCCGGGTATTGACTTAACCCATAATACTCAGCTCCAGCTGAGTGTCAAAGTTAGACATCTAAGCCCTAATCTTTGTGGCAGCTATGCAGTACTGAAAGTTACAGTCAATATTTGGTTTAGTTATAAAAAAAATGTGTTCCGAGCAACAAAAATTGATTGCCCGCTGAAAGTTGGGGATTCAGAGAACAATAGGGGTTAATAACAGGCATGGCTTGAGAAGTGGATTTCTGGGGAATGTGGGGGCTTTGAGAACAACAGAGGTTAGGGTTTGAGAAGTTGGGGCAAGGAATTGAAAGTTGAAACTAAAACTTAAGTGTTCTGTTGTTGATTATTCAGTTAAATGTAATAAATGTCAATTTTGTTTTTGTTACTAATTTTTGTGTATGCTGTTTTTTTGGGGGGGGGAGCAAGGGGAGAAACCTGGTCTCATTTGACACCCTGCCCTGGTATTCGGCCAAATTTTACTACCTGTGTACCCCTAGTAATAACAATAATAATTGTATTTTCTGAGTTTCCAAAATAGAGGCAATTAGGACTTTGTATGTTTAATACAGTCTCATCTTTAGACATGCATGGACAACACTGTACTGTAACAATTTTCATTTGAAATGCATGAGTAGTAGCGCTAAAAGAATTGTTACAATAATAAAACTGAAGCTTAATGCACTATCACTGAAAGTCAAGTTTGATAAAAGAAGTAGGTATGGGTCAGCAAAAAAAAAGATTGCAGAATATTTTGAGATACTGCCAAACATAGCTGCTGCCATAGTAAAAGAAATAGGGGAATTGTGTTGAAATTGAGAAAATAAACTGGCCCATAAGGAAAAAATATCAAAGAAGTAAAATATCCTTATGTGGAAAAAGTGCTAAGGTTATAGAGGCTGAGTGTGAGGCTTGGGTTTAAGATGCACATGAAACAGGTTTGTTTTTTAGACTTACCAGTCAAGACTATGAACTTTAAGACTTGATGCTTTTCATGGCAGCAAAAGAAGTAAGAAGTATGTTATCCTGATGATTGTGCTAACATGTCAGGCACACAAAAGCTTCCTTTTATCCTGATTTGTAAACAAATATAAAAATCACTGTGCTTTTCAAAGTTAGTCTTTTTTTTTTTCTGATGTATAAGAGCAATAAGTAATCCTGGATGATGTCCAAACTGTATTAATCCTGGCTTGTTAAGATTTACAGAAACTTCATTGTTGCTAAATGTTAATTGATTACCTTTTTGGACAACTGCACAGCTTTCCTCAAAGTGCTAACAAGAGAAGTGGAAGCTATAAAAGTAATTTTTTTTTCTTACTCCTAATGTGACCTCCACGCTACAGTGTATGGATCAGAGTATTATTTAAATTATATCTAACAGGAAATACATAGTTATTGAAGTTCTAGATCTTTTGGATGATAAGAAACAACTCATTTGTACATTATTGACTGTGGGAGGGAGATAGAAAAAGCACAAAAGGATGTGAAACCCAACACTTTAAGCCTCTGGTTCAGGAAAACTAGTTTCAGGACTGAAAATGGAGAGAACAAAGCAGAAACATAAGAGAAAGGTGGAAGTGTGGGGAATAATGGTCTTCAGGGTGACTGGCATTTGCAACTGAAAGCACTCATTGTTCCAAAAGAAACATTTGATAAGTATAGTGACATTGATAATGATGTCAGTTTTAGCAATTACCCAAATGTGAATGAAGTAATCAAAATCACTGTGAATAATAAACATAAGTCTGCTAAGGATGAAGAGACTGACAATGGATTTGAACTAGACACCTTTATTTCCATCCCAACACTAAGAAAAGTCCAGTTTGCTTGCATCTTCCTTAAATCAAATGTTCTATAACTCAGTGTGTTTGTTTTTTTATGTTCCTTGGGGATTAAACTTAGGGAAGCTCTACTGTACTAATTTTATTTAAAGTTAACTGAGGTAAAATTGTTAATAAAAATATTTTGATGTATACGAGTAAAATGAGTTCTCTAAAAATGCCATATTCCAACAAAAGATATCAATGGGCTAATGCGATCATAGAAAATGCTCTTCAAGAAATTCAACAGTGGCAGATGCCATCATAAACTATTAAGATATACAGTAGTGTTTCTCATTAAACATTAATAAGAGACAAACTGGAGAAACTCGTGTATTGCAGTAAATCTGGACTTTGGCAAGTCTTCAAATCAACTCAAGGAGTAGCTTTTGTATGAATGGGTGGACATTGTGATTTACTCCCTGCATATGCACAAAAATACTAAAACATTTCGTGCAAGCATGTTCAGTGACTTTGCTGTAGTAATCTTTTCATATCAACTTAGTACCAAATATTGTACAGTATGGTAAATTAGATTACATAAGAACACAACACGTGAAGGCCATTTTAAACATTTTATTTATTATTTTATTTGGAGAATAAAGAGAAAGGCTTATTAAGTGAAATTGGTTTCTCTCATATTGCTTTAACCCATATTCATATATCTTAGAATGGGCATTTTAATAAAAGATGGGTATACACTTTTCCTTACTGACATGTACAATGGAACCAACAAGCATTTCCAAATCATTTTTTCTCTCTTATTTAAGCTATGTGTATAATCCTTTCCTTAAAAAAACTGAATTCAGAAAACTGACTGCAGATTATTCTTACTAGTAAATAGAAGGTTGGTGTGAAAGAAGAATGCTTGCAGAGCATTTCCTGAAAAATAAATTATTAAGATATCATATTATAGTACAGGGCTTACTACAAAATTTCTTTGTTGTCATATCAAGAAAAACCACTGACTTTACAAATACAGAAAACATTGAGCAAATATGATGAAAGTTTGAAATGCTTGACAGTTAAAGTATCTTAACTAGAGTATATATTGTGTAGAATAATAATAATAATATATCTGTGTTCCAGACTTATTTTAAAGGTCAAAGGAAGTTTATGAATGGTGCATTTAATGGATGTTATTTAGATATATTTATTTCAGCTAATTGTTTTCTCAGGGTGATTTGAGCACTTTTCTATTCTTTAGGTCGATTTGAACACTCTCCTATAATATCAGAATTGATTTATTCAGCATCCAGTCTTCTTGGTTTGGTAAATGATACCATATTACGAAAAGCTGCTAACATTCCGTTGCATGTGGTAAGAAGTTTTTTTGATGCAATGGTATTTTTGTGTTGAGAAAAACTGTAACATTGGTCTTGCTAGTATTGTTTTGTCATACGTTCCGAAACATGCCAAAAAATGTGAATCCTATCTTTAGGAGGTGCATCAAATACTTAACTTCCATTTGTTTGTACAAACTTTATGAAAGCTTGCCATTTTTCAAGATAAACATGTCTCTGTATAACTCCATGTCCTTTTGGCTTAAATCTGTTAGTTGCCCTGAATCATATATATCAGGCAGGATTCATGTTTTGTCACATGCCTTATGAAAAATTACACTGGTGATTCATTTATTTGCAATTTTTATGACAATAAGAAGGTAATACATATATGTAATTTTTGCTGCAATTCAAACTCAAATGGCATTGGATATATTGTTCATTGATTTTAAGAAATGCCAACCTCATGTTTTGAACTGTTTGCAAGGAGCCTGTTCATCAATCATGAATATTCATCAGTGCTATAACTACACTTATGCTGCTGACTTATTCCACCATCTGCTTGACCAACTATCCTTCCTTTAACAAAATCTGACAATTTGAAAGAACCTT